TATTGTTCTCACAAAGTCCTAATGTGTTGGGTTCAGGGCAATTTTTGTTCTCCTCATCGGAAAGAAAAATCACTCTGTGTTCCCTCTCGTTGTTTGCTCAACTTTACTCATTGCGTTTTTTACTCAGACAGCATCTCCTTGGTAACGCGGCTGGAGAGGCCAGGTTGTGTGGTGCAGAGCCTCACTTTGATGAATGGCACAGAAGATCACCTATTTGTACAGTGGCGGCAGGGGAAGTTGGCACAGTCTGGCATATCATTCCTCATAAGCCCTGCCAGGCTCAGTCCCTCTGTGCCACACACAGAGCCAGACTGCTGGCAGTGACTAGCATAAGGCCGGGGTGATGTTGGCACTTTATGATGAATAGGCAGCCACATCTACTGTATGCCTGATTGACTTGATCATCTTATAGGAAAGTGTTACAGTGAATGAACTACTGGATTAGGACGAGGTCTATTAGGACTAGTGTTGATCTTCAAGTTGAGCTAATGAAAGATCCTGCGTACTACATACTACACTGCTGGTGCCATATGATGTCCTGTTCTGGTCAATTTAGTTAAACGAAACTGATTGATTTAAGCCTAGAAAACTCATTATCTATTAGACTACAGTTTAGCCTATGTAGGCAGCATTTTTAGTCATTATAAGCCATGTTTCCATCCAAAGTTGCGAATTTAACTTGTGCGGAAAATTAGAATATATTTTTTTAAAACATTTGCAAATAAACCCTAACCCTAATGTTTCCATCCCATGTGTTCAAGAGAACCAAACTGGAGCAAAGTATCAATAATAAAAATGAAAGTTGCAACCATTGCAAAAATGTTTTTCCTACATAAAAAATGACTTGTGTCTTGTCTTATTGCGCACAGACAAAACGCAGTAACAAACACTGTCATGCTATCTTGCATTTGAAGGCGGATGCCTAATTTGTGGGAATGTAATCGTTTGACACAGTTCTGGGAGGTAATTATACAAAATAATTTTGATGACGGATTTTATCCAATCACGTAATTTTTTTTTTTTTTTTTTTTTTTTTTGGCGAATTGAGGAATTTATTCGGTAAATGTGTTTCCATCATAGTTTATGCACCTTTTCTTAATGGAAAAAATTATCCACCTCAGTTGAGTGCATACATTTTTATGGGCATTTTAAGGTTTTATGTGCATCTTGGCGTTTCTGTTCAGCAATTTCCATACAATATCCCAAAATGCACATAAAAATATGTGGATGGAAACATAGCTATGGGCATGTTCTTGACCCAAAGGGTGTTCCAAAAGATAAGATACCATTTAATATTAGAAAAGATTTAGGAATTCTAAATTCTAACAGAACATCACATTTATCCTCAGCAGAAATGGAAATCCCATACTGCATTGCTTATACAGTAACTCAGTGACAAAATCAATTCACACTGGCAGACAAATCGAATGACGATTATAAATATATTTATATTTCATTAAATACTAAAGCATAGCAGTAAAAAAATGGTTCATTATAATTAAAATGGACTAAAATGTTTATATATGTTTAATGCTTATTAGTCTCATGCCATTAGCTTAGCAACATACTAATAGCTAAGGTTACTGAAGTCAGTTATTTAATCAAGTCTCCTGTGTGCTTTCCATTAGAAGCCCTGTGTGTATGATGCACAGAGTTGTGTTCCTAATCAGTCACTTATGATGTTCCATTTCAGTTAGGATGCTGTCTTAGAAGGATGCTGCCTGTGTAGGCAGTAGACAGTAAGGCAGCTGACTGTTTTGTAACAGAGCCAATACTCTTTTTAACATGCTCCAAGTTCAGCCATGTTTTAAGTGCGCAGGTACATAGAAATGATGGTGTGTGTGTGTGCATGTACAGCATTTCCCAATGACTGACATTAATGTTTTCACTTCATTTGAGACAAAATTGAATCTGTAGCTTTTACAGATCCAACAACAAGTCAAACAGTCATTCAAATGAAACCAGCTGTCATGACTGCCGAGAGAAACGCTTTACTGAACCCAGCGACAGTGCTGGCATCTAGACTACCAATGTGTGTGTGTGTGTGCTCTCCTACCCCTCCAGCTGTGTGTCCTTTGATACAGGTATCTTGCCTGCCAATCTGTGCCATCTGAGAAACTGAGATTAGGGTGATAATGTGGCCTATTTTTCCAGATTTATCACAAATATGTTCTTTTAAAATTCATTTTTATGCTGTAGGGTTAAATAAATAAATATTAAATGTAAATGTCAAATGTAAATGAAAATGTTAAATATAACCATTAAATCTAATTCTAAATAGCAAATGTTAAATCTAAATCTGTAAATGTTTAACTGTTAAACCCTTGGTTTATGACTGACTTTCTTCTGTGGAACACAAAAGAAGATGTTTTGAATAATGGTTTTGTCCATACAATGAAAGTCAGTGGGGTCCAAAACAACACTGACACTGAGAGTTTTTCAAAATATCATCTTTTGTGTTCCACAGATTAAAAAAAAAAAAGGTATAAAGGTTTGGAACAATATGAGGTTGAGTAAATGATGACATTCATTTTTGAGTGAACTGTCCCTTTAAAATAGGAACAACTACAAACAAATCTTCACAAAAAAATACAAGCCTAGTTTCTGTTAAGGAAAAGGTTTGAAAACCAAGTTCAAGAGAAGTATGACAGGAAATATCATAGCCTGTGTGGGGGGTTTTGAATGTTGTCTCTGAGAATTAAGGACCTTTGAGTAAGGAAGTTATCTAATTAGATGGACATGTTGTAACTAGCTTTAGCCGCAACATCTGGTGTACTGTACTATTTTACCTGACTATTGCATATAAACCAGGGGTCTCCAAACTCGGTCCTGGAAGGCCGGTGTCCTGCAGAGTTTAGCTCCAGCTTGCCTCAACACATCTGCCTGGAAGTTTCTAGTATGCCTAGTAAGACCTTGATTAGCTGTTCAGGTGTGTTTAATTAGGGTTGGAGCTAAAATCTACAGGAGCAGGATTGGACACCCCTGATGTAAGCAAATGCTTTTATCTTCTTTAGAGTTTATTCGTCTTTTTTATGATCAATGTTTTGATATAATAACATAAAAGGTGCTGACTGAGCCTCTGTAGTCTTCTGTTGTGGACTCTCTCTTCCCTCAGGTGTTTTTATGATGTATACGCTCAGGTTCAGTGAAGCTGGACAGCATCCTAACTGTAATGGAACATCATAAGTGAAGCTGGAGAGAAACCGTCTGTAGAGAGAGAAAGATAGTGTTCCTGAATCTCCTTCTACCGGTTGGGCCATCTGAAGACCCCTGCAGAGTTCTGCCATTGCATTTATTTGTTTTTCTGATTCTTACCTCTAGGAGAGCGTTCAGCCCTCCCAGCATGTCAGATGCAGAGAACGCTAAAATTAATTTATCCATTGAGCGACAGGTTTCTCAATGCCCTGTAGAGAGAGGGGAAATACACAATAACACCATCTCCAATCATCCATGGAGTACAGTTTAATCAAGCTTTTGTTAGGCTATTATCAGTTTCAGATGGCCTGTGGTTATGAATACGTCTCATCTGTTCTTCCGCCACACGGCTAATCTCCTGTAGTAGCTGTGAAAGAGAAATCCAATACAGTAAATAATGCAAATCTGTTATAAGCTCTCTAGTGTTTTTGTCCACGCAAGTGAGGATTACTCCAGACATGTTAAGATCATAATGTTCATTGTCGTCTGGTGTGCCCAAACAGAGACGTGTTGCCCGTGAACGCACGTGGAGGGGAACAACAGATTGATTTCTCTCCAAATCCGGTGATCCGTGTGAGACAGTATGATGCAGATTAGGGCAAAGGATTGAGAGACGTCTCCCTGCAGATGAAGTATGAAATTACAAACCTGTTAGCACCGCTGTCCAGAATGTCGGCGCTCCAAATCCAGGATGGATCTGACTCTGACATTGTCTGGGAATGTAATAATTTCCTTCCCTTCTCGTGTTTGTGTCTGCTGGGAGTAGACATCGCTCAGAGGAGAGGAAGAAAGTGGGGAGAAATACAATGAAGAGAAAATCAAAACAAAAACAGATTAAGGTTATTAATAATAGCAGTAAGAGTCTAATTTGTCTAGACTTTTTGTTAAAGCGATAGTTTATCCTAAAATTAAAATTATGTCATTATTTATTCACCCTCATGTTGTTTCAAACCTGTATAACTTAGTGTTTTCTTTTTTGGATAATAAAAGGAGAAATTCTGTAGTTAATTTTATAATGAATGGGGGCTGGAGCTTTCAAACTCCAAAAAGGATGGAAACGCACCATAAAAATATAATAGAAGTAGCCCTAAAAAGCATTATGATACATCATACAATACGCTTGTGTGATAGACCAAAAATTAAGTTATTGTACACTGAAAATCAGTTGTCTATTAATTGTGACTGGATTGAGTAATTGAGGATTGTAAACTAATCATTTAGACTTTGTGAAACATATCACAAATTTACTGGAAAAAAATCCAATTTGAAAGAATCATTCACATTGTTGCATCTCTTAAACACATGCACATCATGTATGGAGAACATTTATAACATTTATCATATTTTATTGATAGTTTAGGTTCTGCCTTTTAAGCTTTAAAACTTCAGTGGCTATTCATTTGAATTGTAAAGAAAAAAACAACAACGACTAGTACGTTATTGAAAATTTCACCTTTTGCGTTTCTCACAAGTCATACAGGTTATAACAACGTGAGGGTTAGTAAATGAATTTTCTTTTTTAAGTGAACTGTTCCATTAAAGCATCAGTCTTGTCTGACTGTGTATTCCAGGCCAAGAAGTAGGCCAGTACTGACACCGGAGGGTCAGAAAGAGTCATTGTGTGAAGAAATCAAATTATTTTATACATTATCTTTGCTCTCCGGTGAGCCTCGCCTTGCTCTTTCCTTGTAATATAAGATAGTGATGAGGTCACCTTCACTGGAACGATACGCTCAGAGGTGTCCGCTGATATAAGTCATTAAGTAGTCAGTGGTGTTTTATTGCTGCTGTCTGTGTTTTAACAGAAATTCTGAATGGAGGGGTGTATGTGGACCAGAACAAGTTCCTGTGTCATGCCGATACCATCCACTGGCAGGATATAATGAAGAACGCTCGCCCTGATCACCTGGTGGTGCCGTCCAATAGCAGCAGCTCATGTGAGTACTGACCAGAGCATGAGGTGCTAAAATTGATTGTTAATACACAACTGTTCAAGTTTGAGGTCAGTAAGATTTTTAAATGTTTTTGAAAGAAGTCTCACCATGGCTGCATTTATTTAATTTAAAATACAGTAAAACTATATTATGAAATATTTTTGAAGTCTAAAATGACTTTTCTATTTAAATATATTTTTAAACATAATTTATGGCTGTGATGGCAAAGCTGAATTTTCAGCAGCCATTACTCCAGTCTTCAGTGTCACATGATACTGCAGAAATAATTGTAATATATTTGTAGGTTTTTTTTATAATATATATTAGTTTTTGCTGCTTAATATTTTTGTGAAAACTGATATATTTTTTTCAGGATTATTTGATTACTAGAAAGTTCAAAAGAGCAGCATTCATTTGGAATATAAATATTTTATAAAATTGTCTATTCGTCAAAGAATCCTAAAGAAAATGTTACACAGTGACACAATGTTCGGAAACCATGGAAGAATTATTTTCCTCTTTTATTCATTAAAATTCAGTAACTATTTACTCACACTCATGTCAATCCAAACCTGTATGGTATTATTTTTATGAACACAAAAGAAAAATGTTGTTCCCACGTTTTCACAGCTTTTTTGTCATACAGTGAAACCAGGGAGTTGTCAAACTCCAAAAAAGGATTCAAAAACACAATAACGCAGTTAATGTGACTATTTTATGGTACTTTTATTTGGTCTATATGAGCTATTATTGTATTTAAACAAGACCAAAATTTCACATGTGGTAACAAATGAGGGTGAGTTTTAATTTTGGGTATAACTAATCTTTAAAGAAAAGTTAATTTTTACATCTCCTAATGATACTTTTGAGAATGTGTCCAGGCTCACGTTATATCCAATCAATCAATCAATCCTCTTGATCTGTTTTGCCTCCCTCCCCACTCTCCAAATCAAGGGTGTTGAATTTATAATCCACTATAATCTCTTAGTTTTTTTGGGCAGGGATTGTCCTCATTGATTTTATTTTGTTATTTAGTGAGCTTATTTACATTGGCTGTTCAAAAAACAACAGGGAATAAGCAATGCACCTTTCACCAATTAAAATGCAATCCTGCCCTTCCAGCCATTGTTTATCAATTACTTTTTTCCAATGTTTGTAACCTTTAGATTAGGTTAGAAGCAGCCATGTGGGCAGCAAGGAAAAGCATAGAATGATCTTGACGGTCAATGTAAACATTAAAATCAACCAAATGAGACCTTAAGCATCTCTGTCATTATTTATTCACCCTCATTTCGTTTTCAAACCTGAAAGACATTTTAATGTCCAGGAGCTTCCAAGTTCGAAAAAGCACAATAATTGTGGAACACATGACTCATGATTTATGGTTGTATGACTTCAGAAGTCAGATTATAATTGAATAACTACTTTTATGGTGCTCTTTTGTCTCTTTAGAGTGAAACACTGTATAATTTCCATTGTATGATGGTGAGTGAATGAAGGCAGAATTTTCATTTAGGCTGAGCTATTAGAAAGGCAATGGAGCAGCCCTTCCTCGCCATATCTCACAAAAGCTTACAGTGAAGGACAGAGAAATCAAGTACTTAGGCAGAAAAAGAGGAAACGAGACAGAGAGTATAAAAAAAGGTGATGTTTAAAAAGAGGAGATAGTCAAAAGTGCCTGGCCCATGTAGTTGAAGAGAGTAAGCCACTGGTGTAATTACTCTTAACTGAAGTGGAACAGGGACAGAGGACAACACTCCATCAGTCAGCCATGCTCACACTGCAATTACCCAACAGTCAGTTAAGCTTGGGTGGCAGAAGAGCCACCGCAGATGAGTGTAGCAAAGCTATACGGGACGTCTCCTCTGGGGCGGGGAGGATTCGGGCAGAGCTCTGGAGAGCCAGGGAGAACATGTTCTGTCAGTCAGCAACGACTCTTTCCCACTTCATCAGAACAGGGTCAGTGCGGATGAAAAGAGTTCCATCCTAAAGCGGAATGATCCAGATTGTGGTTACTGTGATGAAACATTATGACAGTGTTATGAACAATATGATGATGACCGATGACCGAATGCACACTTAAAAATGACGTTTTATAGTCAACATGAAATCAGAACTGACTTATTAAAGGGACTGATCTTCCTGGTTTTAGTGAATGTTATTTCAAATAAATAATGTTAGTTTGTGTCATCTTTTATTAAAATGCAGAAATTTGCTATAACTAAATGTTTTATCTTTTCTGGTTGCAGGTCAGAGGTGTCATAGAGGATGTAATGGACGCTGCTGGGGGCCAAAGGAGGACCAGTGTCAGAGCTGTGAGTGTCAGAAATTGTCAAAAAAAGTCAAACCATCCTCATTGAAATGAATGAATTTAAACTGTGATAATCATTCCTTGACGGTTTTGAATCTGCAACCTTTCAGTTACCAGCCCAGACCTTTAACTAATACACCACACCCATGTTTGATATGATGCCACCATCCTTTTTGCCATCCGTTTTTTTTATGATCAGAGTGATTTTACCATTTGAGCAATGTTTTGAGCTTTAGTGTTTATGTGGGCAATAATAGTTCAAATCTGGCTTATGTCATTTCCCAGTCCCATTTCCTATTTTTCCAGTCTTCTTTATAGTACTGTATCCACCAAATAATGCAATAATTAATTAATAATTTAATAATTAGTTTAATGAATTAATTTTATCCACCAAATCAGCCAAATAAGTTGCTGTAGCAATACTTGTTGCTTTTAAATGGTTACTTATTTGATGGAAACAGATTTCCATTGTTGTTTATAAAATAATTCACATTTATTGAAAATATTTAACAAAATTTAAATGCTCATGTCATTAAATCTCATTTTTATCTATTATATTATATTATATTATATTATATTATATTACTGTGATTTTACCTCAGTTCAGGGGGGGTTTAGGCACTCCATGTTGAGGCTCTCGAATACCCCTGTGTGTGGTAAAATCACTGTAACAAACAGCCTATTGTGGGTTATTAATTTTTT